CTGGAAGTTGTGGAGCGTTTTACGCATCTTGGAAGTTGTATTAGTTCTGACTGTAGTGTGACAGATGAGGTGAATGCACGAATCTGCAAGGCTCGGGCCGCGTTTGCTAACTTGAGACACCTATGGCGCCAGAATGGTTTATCCCTGAATCTGAAAGAAAGAAAGCGTTCAGCTGTAGCACCCTTTCGGTGCCTAGCTGCCATGCCACCCGAAAGAAGCCGGAGGGCTGGGATACTGCCAGGTTACCCAAGCCTTGACAGGGGAAGTCGAGTGGCGGAGGTCGGATTCGAACCACGGACCTTCCGGTCAGTAAATTCGCGCTCTAACCACTTGGGCCATCTCGCCTCCAGCGGACCTGAGACGTCTTCAGGTGTTCGACAGTCGTTGTCTCAGAACCATAGCTCGTGTGGCTTGTGTCGGCGATGGCTTGGTGTCGGCGATTCCGTAACGAGATGATTAGAGAGCGTGTTTTTGGTTGTGTAACGGGTACTTCCACCGAAGAATGTGTCCAGCACGGGAAACTGCGTTGGTTGGGACATGTGTTACGTATGCCGAACCATCGTTTCCGAATAGAGTGGCTGTTTTCCATGCCCAACTCAGAGTGGCGTAAACAGAGAGGTGGCCAACCCTTGAATTGGCAGAGGAGTATGAAGGATATCACGAAACGCTTGGGTGTTATCGGTGCTACTCAACTTCCAGGATGGGGACCGTGTGAGCCTCACTGTGCCTGGTTGGAGACACTACAAGACATGGCTGCCAACCGATGTCAGTGGCGTTCTTGTTGTCAGTTTCTATCCAGATTATCTGAGTGAATGTCTGGAGGTGTAGGCACCTCAGAATGACTGAGTTGAGCTAGCACTAAGTGCCTCCTTCGTCCACCTTTACTCTTTCCTTTTCAATAAGTCTTTCAAATAAGTCATGGTTGTACGGCAGTGAAGCATCGGTGTTAAAAACTGATGTCATGATGTCGATGATGGTGATGATGCCAGTATCAGAAGCTACCTTTGTTAGGCCATGCCGAATAATTGTTTGCCGAAGAGAGTACTGTTTTCCATGTCAAATTCAGGGTAATGCATCATCATCATTATGGATAGTACAAAATCACTGTTGAACATGGATGTTTCGCTGCCGTGCTATGGTTAGTTGTATCATGGCTGGTGGGCTGGGGCACTGTCAGGGCGCCCACATTCAGAAGGGAGGGCGATTAGGGTTTTCAGTTTTTGTTTCAATAGCCTGACCACAAAGCAGTGTCTGGCAGGATGTGCAAGTGCTTTGCCATTTTTAAAGAAGCTGCATGTTTCAACCCCCAAACTACAGGGCCAGAAGAGTGTGATGGTTAGACCTCTAACTATTGATCGCCTGGCATTAGACTCTGCGGGCACTTCTCTGTATAGCCCAGTGGGTCACGCAGGCATATAACCGTCACATGACTGTAAGGCCTAGCCTCTTCGTAACGGAAAAATAGATGTGGTCAGACTCTGACCTAGCACACGGAAATGAAAGCGGTCACAAAATGTCTGGGTACTGTCGGCGTGACTCGGCTTCCAGGATGGGATACATGTGGTACCTACTGCGCCTGGTTTGAGGCGACGCAGGATATGGTTGCTAATCGATGCCAAATGTTTCCGTTGCCAGTTTCTGTCCAGACTGCCTGAATGAGCGTCTGGAGGTATAGGCACCACGGAATGATTGTGGTATGCTAGCGTAATTCACTTCCTCACAGTAAAGCTTTCAAATCAACTATGGTTGTAAGGGGGCAGTGATGACGGTGACGATGATTATGACAGTAAACATGAATAAGTTAGACAGGCTGACCGAGGAATTTCACGTCGTTTGAACAGGTTAAGTGGAGGTTCAGCTAACCAGGAGCATGGTGGAGCTTGAGTACCGATACTGATTCGAACACTTCTAAAGCCGAAAGGGTTTCAATGTTTCTGACAAAGGCCGACAGTTCGGATGGTAAGTAGCAGGTGACCAACTGAACAACTGTTCGAGGGATTCTGCCGAGCGGTCCAAACATTCTCCTTTGCTGTGTTTTCTGATGGGCTACTGATAAGTGGCTTCTGAATATCGGTCGAGCGAGTCATGTGGAATCAGTTGCGGACGTTTCAAGCAAATCCAGCTTCCTTCGTTTCTTCGATCCCCTGAATCCACCAAACTTTCTGGTCTGCACAAACACCCACCCATACCTGGTACCGGGTGATGCACCTAGAGGTTGAAAACAGAGGGACTAGTCCGTTGATAGTGTCATGAATATTCTTTGTACTCACATTATCGTTTTATATTAACCATGCTTTCGCCTTCATTTTCAGCTTATGTACGTCTATTCTTAGACAAGTAAAGCGCTATTCATTCTTGTTCTCGCGCTCAATCAGAATCGATATCCTATTCGTAACAATTTACTTGTCTAAGAATACAATGGAACCGTTGCTGCGACCAAAGTGTTTCGACGCAGATCCTAATTCT